AGAACAAACAAATCTGTCCTGGAAGAAGTGCAGCCAGAATGCTCCTTGGAAGCGAGAATGGCCAGACTTCGTCTCACCAACTTTGGTCATGTTGTCAGATGGGACCATTCCCTGGAGAAGGATATCATGCTTGGTAAAGGGGAGGGTCAGCAAAAAAGGGAAAGGCCCTCAACAAGATGAGTTCAAGTATAGCAAGGACTGTGAGGATGGTGCACAAGTGGTCAGTGTTTTCTTCTGTTATACATAGGGTCGCTATGAGTCAGAGCCAACTCAACCCCACCTACCAACAACAACAAATTTTTATGACTGCTAAATTGTCTGTAGCAGTAGACCAGGACAAGGGCAAAAGTAATAGATAAGCCTTGAGATTGAAGATCAAAAGAATGACCACACATCTACTCAGTCTTCAAGCCCTTACCAAACCCTCTCACCTGTTCCTTCTCTAGCTGAGTTTGGTCAAGTCTGAGCAGGGAAGTCTTCATCACCTGCTGGTTCTACACATTGGTTTGGGATGAAAGATGAAGCCTCCCTGTGAGTAGGCCTGGGTCCACTGGGGGAGGGGTGTAGACCAGGATGGAAGAATCCGGCCTGGGAACAGGGTATGCAAGCTCAATGTGAGGATCCCAGGAACTCCACTCAATGGAGCACATATCTCTTAGCATCTCAGGGGTTCAGAGCTATGAAGACAAAGCAAGGGGAAAGGATGGGAGTGGTAGGCAGGCTGAGTAGGGGTGGTAAGGGGGGGTCAGGGAAAGTCTTACAAGAAGACGATGCATTTAAGCAAATATGTGAAGGAGGTGTGGCATCAGATAGATTTTGGGGGTAAGGAGGTTGCTCCAGGCAGAAGGAGTCACAAATGTGATGTCCCTAAGCTGAGGGAAGACCTGACATTTCAGGGAAAACAAAGAGACCAGTGCCTAGAATGGAGCGAGGGAAGGAGAGGGTGGCAGGAGATGAGGAAGAGGTAATGTGGGGTGCAGGTCATGCACCAGGGTCCTGCAGGCCACAGGGTGGACCTTGGCTTTGACTCTGAGTAGAGAAGAGAAGAGAAGCCAGCTGGAGGGGTCTGGGAGATGGAGTGCCGTGGTCTGACTTGTGCCTTAACAGGACAACAGGGCTGCTGGGCCGAAGGGGACCTTTGGAGGTGCAAGAATGACTAAAGGGACATCCATTAGGAAGCTATGGTAATCATCAAGAGAAGAGGGGTGAGAGTCAGGTCTTGGGTCCCAGTGGTAGCAATAGAGTGGGTAAGAAGTGCAGATTCAGGATGGTTTTTGTTGTTGTCAATACATCTGTAACAGATATTTGCCATTTCTGCCATCTTCACAGGTCAGTGACATTCATAACACTCAACACGCTGTCCAGCCATCACCCTTCTCTACTCCAACTTTCCCATCCCCCTAACAGAAGCTGCGCAGTGTCCCCCATGCACAGAGTCCTTCCTACCTCCCTCTTGCCCACTCCTGGTAAGCGCTCCTCTGTGGTCTCTATATGCTTGCCCAGTCTAAAGATTTCATATAAGTGGGCTCAGACAGTGTGTGTCCTTTTGTGACTGGCTTATTTCACTCAGCATAATGTTCTTAAGGGCCATCCAGGGTGTGACATGTATCAGGACCTTATTTCTCTTTATGGCTGAGCAGTCTTCTATGGCATAAAGAGACCATGTTTGGTTTATCCAGCCATCTGTTGACAGGCACCTAGGCTGTGATAAAGAATAAGAACTCACCCACATCTCTCTTGGAAATGCCCAAGAGTGAATGCATCCCGTTCTAGTTCCTCCGCGTTCTGCCTCTCCCTCACTGCGTGCTTTTCTCTTACAAACAGAAAATACCCTTTGTTAAAAAAAAAGAACTATGTTACTCCACAGCTACTGATGAAAAGCCAATGTACTGAGCACTGACGTTTGATGCTCCTGACATACTCCTAGTAAATTCAGTTGCAGAAGCGAAAACAAGACTCCACAGTGACAGCTGATCCATGCTTGCAGGACTTGGAAGGGCCAGGAATTTGATACTAGATGTGTACGTTTCCCATTGCTGCTAGAACAAATTGCCACAGACTTTGTGGCTTACAACAACAAAGCTTTGTTCTATTACAGTTTTGGAAGTCCAGAGCTCAGAATGAATCTCATGGGACTAAAATGAAGGCCCCAGGCGAGAATTCTTGCCTTTTCCAGCTGCTAGAGGATGCCCACATCCCTTGACTTGTGGCTGCATCACTCCAATCTCTGCTTACATCATCACATGGCCACATTCCCTCTGTGTGTTTGAGTGTCCAAATTTCCTTCTTGTTATTAGAACACCAGTCCCCAGCTATCCAGAGGGAGCGAATAGTTGGACCTGTGGGCTCAGGACCATAGTCGTAGGGGACATCAAGCTCAATTGGCATAACATACTACATAAAACATTGTTCCACCTCCTACTTTGGCGAGTAGTGTCTGGGATCTTAAAAACTTGCAAGCAGCTATCTAGATGCAACAATGGGTCTCTCCTCGTCCAGAGCAAAGAAGAATGAAGAAAACCAAAGATTCATGGAAACAATTAGTCCTCGTGACTGGTACACCATGTGATTCTCAGCCTATACAACTATGAGACCAGAAGAACTAGATGGTGCCCAGCTACCACTGTCAACCACTCAAGGGGGCAATCTAAGT